AGCCGCCCCCCCCCCCCCCAAAAAAAAATGCAGTCGCCACATCTAAGGACCAGTAAGCTGCAATATATATTACATTTTTGTCCTTGAGTTTACATACACTTTAAAGAGAACTGCCGCCCTCCCATTGAAATTAAACGTTAAACCAAAACAAAGTTTGGAAGACATTCGTCAAGTCTCTGATGGCATTACTGAATGCTCTGACTAGATTTTTCATATAAATGTTCCTGTGAAGCCTTGTTTTCTGGATGATGCCACTGCCCCCCCACCCCCCCACACACTTCACAGATTACCACTCAGGCCCACTGTTGTGACGGCAGTCACATGCTCCCCCCTCCCGGAAGCCCTTGCTAGCAGTAGATATATGCAAAAAAAAACGTAGGGTTTAGAAACTCTTTAAAAACATTCTTACCTTTTTAGATGTGTCTGTGTAGCGTCCTTTACAAGCTTCTCTCTCAATGATCAAGTGACAGGAAACTCTTTCTGTCCCCATAGAAATAAACAGGGACAGGCATTGTCTATATGTAGTTTACAATTAATAATGAGATCTGCCAGCACAGTACAGACACGGTTCATTATGTGAACATTAACCTGCACGCCCCCATTTGCATTTCAGAGCTTGATATAGAGTAACATTTTCTTTCAGCAATTGAAAACAATAAATAAAAGTTATGCTATGTGAATGAGAAACATGCAACACATAGAAAATAGGCGTTAGCCCAATTTGGCTGCAAAAGTGGAAATACGCGTTTAAATGTAACAACAAAAAACCTGAATCCGAATTCATTTCTAAGAGTGATCACATAATCGGTATTGATAACATTGCTTTTATTTTGGTGCCTTTTTCAGTCTTCAACCATGGCTGGCAATGAAGGGGACTTTGTAATGAACAAAAGATTTGTGACAGAATCTGAACTGGAGGAAAAAAGAAAGCAGAGACAAGAGGAATGGGAGAAGGTGCGGAAACCTGAAGATCCAGAAGGTACTACCTGACGAGCAATGCCTGAAATGTCGCTGTGTTCAAAAGCTCACCTGGTTAATTATTGTGCTATGTATTGCCTCTAATATGTCACAAAACAAGACAAAGGTTCTTACTGGGGATGCACCGAAATTTCGGCCGAAACTGGCACTCTTGGCCATTTCTCAAAAGTGCCATGATGGCCAAAAAGGCTGCCGAAAATTCAGTGTATCCCAGCTCCTCATCTCTCCGCTGGATGCCGGTGTGTGGGCCTTCTGATGCAGCGCCTGTGCCCAGCGGGGAGGAGAGAAGCTTTCCGGATGGAAAGCGGAGTCGCGCGGTGACCGCTGTCATTGTTGCAGGAGGTCGAGCTCACCTCCCGTATGGAGAGCAGTTCGACATGGTGATAGCTGCGATCTGTCACAGGAGGTGGTGTTTACCTCCCGGCTCCGCCTCCTGTGTCAGGATGCTGAGCAGCACGGGGTGGTGACGGCTGTGATCTGTCACAGGAGGCGGAGCTCTCTTCCCATACCTCCCGGCTCCTCCTGTGTCAGGATCGATAGTGGTGATTGGAGGAGAATGCTCTAATCTATCATGGAGGCAGAGTTCTCCTCCCCCACTGCCCGACCCCTTCCTGTGACAGCCGATTCAGGATGGAGAGCGGGTATACAAACACTCGCCGATCAGCTGAATGTTTGTAAATAACGGGACATAGTGTGCTTACTATGTCCCAGTTATGAATGAATGGAAAATTATCTACATCACTTCCTGTTTATTCATGATTGTGGACATAGTAAGCTCACTATCTCCACAATGTATGAATGAACAGGAACACTCAGTATAGAGGATTCCTATTCATTCATAACAGGGGCTGCAGAAAAAGAGATTGAGGACTCTGTGTCTTCAATCTCTTTTTCTATTTTAAAAGGGAAATGTCAGGGGTCTGTTTAGACTCCTAATATTTCTCCGAAGCCCCCGACCAGTAAAGTAACAAAAAAGAAACATAAATAAAACTAAAATAATTAACAAAAATTTAAAAAAGATTGGGGGGAAAAAGTCATTTTCGGTTTCGGCCCTAACAAACTTTTTATTTTCGGTTGCGGATTTAAAATTCCATTTCGGTGCATCCCTTGTTCTTACCCTTCCACACTCATAAAAAAAAAGAAATTGAATACTGTCCATGCCCCTGGTGGAGAGATTTTGCTTGCCCCTTGTCTTGCTGACCACACCAGGAGTAAGGAAAAATAACCCCAAATGGCTACAATTCAGACAACAATAAAAACTGATCAGACTATCCAAAAGTGAGTTTTGTTTGGAGTTCTGCTTTAAAGAACAACTCCGGGAAAAACATTTTCTAACCCTTGCTGTGGGTCTACCCACCCCCTGACTGCAAGGGTCAACTGCTCTTTTTTTCGCCTAGGGACTAATCACAAAGTTATACTCAACTAAACCTTGCAGCGTTCCCTCCAGCTTGTCTCTTCCTACACTGCAAAAATGTTATGTACCTCGGTGTCCAATACGCTGTGTATAGAACATGATGACTCTGGATCCTTAGACCACTGCAGCAGAGAGAGAGAGGTTGGAAGGACCGATCTGAGAACAAGCCAGCTCGGAGGATGGGGTGAGTAACTTTTTTTTAGTCCCGAGACCAAAAAAAATATGACTCCCTTGCAGTACGGGGGCTTCAAGCATGCTCCACTGCAAGGGTTAATAAAAAAATGTGGGCCTCTGCTTCAAAGCTGAACTCCAGGCAGATATAAAAGATGCGGATTATTCATTAATAAATTATTAAAGTGGAAATAAATAAAAAATGGCTGAGAGGTAATGATTTTTGGCAGAAGAGACATGCAAAGTCTGAAAACAAAGTGCACAGCTCACCCCTATCATGGGTCCCCGCAATCCACATTCGGTGCACGGATGACTCTCTTCCGGAGTAATAGGCTCAAAAACTGTGGAACCAGCACACCATAATCTTTCAAAGAAATTCAAACTTTATCCCACATGTATCTGTACAAAACACAACAGCTAGCGGTTGAATAAAGTTTGAATTTCTTTGGAAGATTATCGTGTGCTGATTCCACAGTTTTTGAGACATGCAAACTCTATTCTGCCCAAAAAATTTTCTCTCTCCCCCATGGTTTTTGCTTTAGGCTTTAGGCCTCATTCACATGCTGCGTGCAGGGCTGTATCGGGCAGCTCCCAAGAAGGACAGGTGCTGTGTGTGATTAGTACGCAGCCCCCGTCCTTCTCTATGGGACTACACAGCCGTACACCCCCCTACGCTCACCCGCCCTGCACGTCCGTACGCGTTTAATCTGACAGGATGGATCCTGTCTGTGTCCGAGCCAGGAAACACGCACCCGTACGGACCTGCACTTGGGGTGAGCGTAGGGGGGGCGTACGGCCACGTAGTCTCATAGAGAAGGACGGGGGCTGCGTACTAATCACACGCAGCACCTGTCCTTCCCGGGAGCTGAGCGATACGGCCGTGCACGCAGCTGTACGTGCCGGCCATTCCATTAGAGTGTAGATGACCCCAATCTGCACTCTTAAGAGCTTAAAACCATTGTAACACGGATGTCTGGTGAGTCCTTGAATGGGAATGATGCTCATTTGAATTGTGTGCCATTATACTATTGCAGCAAACTGTGTTATGGTGTTTTAATAGCTGGGGATTGTAATTGAATTATTCTCTCCAGAATGTCCAGAGGAAGTGCATGACCCACGTTCTTTATATGAAAAGCTTCAGGAACAGAAAGATAAGAAGCAGCAAGAATATGAAGAGCAGTTTAAATTCAGTAAGTACCCCTGTAAGTCATTTCAGCTACTGTATAAGAAAATGTTTTCATTGGTTAAAACCTAAAACTGCAGACATAACTGGTACCAATCCTGTGGAGTAAAAAGAATTTAAAAAAGATAAACCAGATGAAAGTGTTTTCTCCCGGTACAGCTTATTGAGTCTTTTGGTTCATGTTCGCAGTCCTCCCTTACAGGTTGTAATGTCATTAGTTCTCTTACAGGACTAGCCATTGCTCTAGACTGCCCAGTGGCCTTTGATCATTTCAGAAATGACCATACGCTTGTATGCCCATCCACATCCACCATTGCATGTTCTGTTATTGTGGTCAGTCAACATTCATCAGTGAACTGGATAGTTGTGCTTGCTTTGGGTTTAGTTTTTACAATATGCATGGAAAAAAATCAGCAACTTAGTCCTTATTTAGATGTGTCCATCAGAGAGGCTCAGCTTTATGTAGGATTTTCATATCCAAGCAGGATCATTCTATAAGCATGTCAGACTTGTGACTTAATGTCCAACTCTATCATGCATGTTACTGCACACGTCTATTCCTCCTTATGGTGAGTGGGACGGTGGTACATATGCAGCACAAACCAGCAAGATGGAAACATTAAGATTTTTGATAGAGAAGTCTGGTGAACGTCATTTGTGTCTAGGTTTTTAAAAAAAAGTTATACTCACCCAATGCTCTGAGCCAGCTTCTTCTTAGACCGATCCTTCCAGAGTCTCTCCCCCTCCTCTGCAGCGGTCTAAAGTCCCGTAAATCATCATGTCTATACACAGTTTATGGATGTGAGGACGCTGAGAAAGATTCCATTGTTGCAGCGGAGGAGGAGACAGGCTGGAGGGAAAGCTATGACAGCTGGCCGGCTCGAAGTTTCAGGTGAGTAAATCTTAATTTTTTTTTCCTAGACACAAAGTAACACTTAAAGTACAATTAAACCCTCACTTTCTTTGCATATATCTACTGCTAGCAAGCTGTAGATATATGCCAAAAAAAAGTCACCAAAAAGGTTAAAACTTACCTGGGGCTACGCCGCTCACTCCTGCCTGAAGTTCTGAAAATTCTCGGGCAGCCGCAAAGGATCATGGGGCAGGTGCATGCGCAGAACAGATCTTCAGCCAGGAGAAGAGGAGAGACACAGGGTAAGTCAATGCAAGCAGCCGGCAGCGCGCATGCGGACACACCGTGGGACACAGTAAGCACAGCAGTCAGCGCTAGAGGGACTTCGGAAAACTACAGGAAAGAAGAAGATGATCGGATCAAGAGGCATCATTTAACCCCTTCATGACTGAGGCCCTTTTTTCCATTTTTGCACCCATGTTATATTCCACATTTTAGGCCTGAAAATGACGTAAAACCCCCCAACATTATATATTTTCTGAATGCCAAGACCCTATAGAATAAAATGGTGGTAGTTGAAAATTTTTATGTTGCTCAATATTAGCGCAACTCCTTATTAAACCCCAAAATTTAGTGACAAATTTAATTAAATGCCCCAAAACACAACAAATTACCCATTTTTTTAATGAAATATAAAAGATGAGGTTACAACGAGTAAAACGATACCCAACATGCCCAGTTTACAGATTGCGTGCGA